TTGTATATGCTAAGCAAGCACCACATCTCTTGTTTTTTAGGGTGTCTACTGCATAGTTGTTTGTGGGTGGGGAATATTGGAGCTGGTCCTTCTAGTCCTGTTGCCGACTCTGCAGTAGTCAGTAGGTCAACCCACCAAGCCTGGAGTATGCTTTCCTCTGTTTTGCTTTGGACTTTGCTAGAACCACCCTCACCCCTTTTCTTCTCTGCCTGTCAAAATTCTACCCACCCTTGAGCCAGATCTCTCAGTGTGTAGACACTTTCACCTCCCTGAGCTCCGGTTCCTGTTGTTAGGCCAAGGCTGTTCTGGCAGCCACTGCATGCAGTAGAGTATATGCCCATACTCTACTATGTGTCACCAGGTGCCTGGGAACCTTTCTGCCATGCTTTACAGTTACTGCTCATCTTATTTGTTTCTATCCTTGCTGACTTCACCTCTAAGTCTCTGAAGGCCCGGACTCTGCCCTCCATACTCCCACACCCCCACTGTTGCCTGGGTCAGAAAGGAAAAGGCCAGCCCTCCATCATTCTCTTAAGGCTCTATAGACATTTTCTTACTTAGCTTAATCCACTAAATTCCTTTAAGAAATATTTATAATGTAAATACATTAAAAAGTTAGAATAGAACTTATAAATGAACATTTACTTAGCATCTCGCACATATAGAAGGCACTCAATAAAAAAGTATTGAAATAGTCAATAAACTGTCTCAATGACTTAGAATTCTGATTGTTATTTTTTTTAAGGCTGGGTATTAATGGCTATGCAGAGAATTTCAAGGCTCCCAGAAGTTATTTCTCTCTCTGGATCTAAGTGTATGATTTTTATTAGCTTCAATCATTTGTATGCACACTTTTGCTATTTTTGTTATCTGTGTACTGTATTATTAGTAATATATTTCCTTACATTGATTAATTTTTAAATCTTCTCTAGATCTAAGCAATAATATCTATGACATCCTGGGCTTGAGCTGCTGGTTGTGGAGATTTCAGTCTATGACTGATTTGCCCCGTTGCTTTTGGACCTCTGGTAGCATTTTATGGTAGGACCATGTGTTGGGGCCAAACTCTTTGCTTCATGGCCGAGGCCCCACCACCCCCTCTGAGGAAGCACTCCGGTGACGTGAAGCCTTCCCACGACACCCCACCTCTTAAAGTTTCCACCACCTCACAAAATTGACAAGCTGGGGAGCAAACTTCGACATCTGGGCCTTTGGGGAACCTTCTAGATCTAAACTATACTATGTATACTTACAGTGGTTACATTTTATGGCTTGTAAATTGTATCTCGAAGAGGAAGGAGGAGGAGAGAAAGGAAAGAAAGGGAAGGGGGTGCCTGCCTCCCAAGCGCAAGGACCCGAGTTCGATCCCCGGTACCAAAAAAAAAACAACAAAAGACAAACAAACAAAGGGAAGGGGAAATTAGCCAGGAAGGGGGATGAAAGGGCTTCTGGAATAATGGCGTTGCTATGTTTCTTGATTTCTGTGTTGGTTAAAAGGCTGTGTTCGTTTTGTGAAAGTCCATGAAGCTGTCTGTTTATGCTTTGTGCATATTTCTATATGATGTTATATTACAGCAAGAACATTTACTAAAAACAATTCTGCCAATATGAGAACACCATTTCTCCCCAGTTATGACTGAAATATTTAATGATACTGAAAGTTGTTTCTTTGCTGGTTATTAGTTTGTATAATCACATCACTCTGCCAACTTAGTTTTACAGTGTTAGGAATTTAGGTTTTGTGTGGCTTAATACAGAAAGGGTTATAAAAGATATATTTAGCTAATCACACATGTGCCACAAGAACATCACTGGAAGCCATTGTCACTTAATTATTCACAGCAGTTATCAACATGGACAGTATTCAGTGTGCAACCAAAATAAATGGAAGTTTTAAGAGGGCTTGTTGGAACAATCAAATCATCAGTCTCAAAAAGTCTTCTTTCTCTCAGCCCAGTTCTCCTGCTGCCTGCCAGAGTTTCAATTCTATATTTAGCTTCTCAAATCAGCAGTACAGCAATTAGTTATTATAATAAGAGCTACCAATTTATTGTGTGCTGACTTCATGCCAGGCACTGCATTGTTGGATTTTTCCATACTTCAGTCTCTCATTTCATTGTCACAACAACCCTGAAGAAGAGTTGTTTATTCCATCTTACAGCTGAGGAAACTGAGGCTGGAAGAGTTCTGAGTGGGTCCAGTCCTCTGGTGCTGGTCATCGGCAGAGCCTGAGAGCAGGCTGGGGTTCCACTCAGTCATCTTGGACCTGACATCGGTAACAGGAAATGAGTGACACATGTGAGAGGATTCTGAATCCCCAAACATGGCTTTTCACATAGTTATTATAGTAACTGCACTACAGGATGCTTTCTGTGTTTGCTGAGATTTCAATGAATCCACTGTTAGCCCTTGGGGTATGGAACCTCCATTGCCCTCGAGAATCCCGAGGGACATTTTAATAGGTTTAAAATAGCCTTCTTGCTTTGTCATCAAGCCTTTTATTTCAGAACCCCCTGGAACATTCAAGTCCCTCATGT